GGGACTACAGGCTCCTGCCACAACGCCTGGCCATTTTTTGGTTGCAGCCATCATTGTTGTTTGGCAGGTCCGGGTTGGGGATTCGAACCCGCCACCTTAGGTGTATGTGGCTGGCGCCTTAGCCGCTTGAGTCACAGGCGCCGAGCCAAATATGGAGAATTCTTAAAGAACTCAAACGAGACTTCCCATTTGATCCTGCAATCCCATTACTGGGCATCTACTCAGAAGAAAAAAAAAATCATTTTATCATAAGGATAAATTTTAGAGATGGGTCATTTGCATCAGACTGTGTATTGCAGCTCAATTTACAACCACCAAATTGTGGAAACAACCTAAATGCCCACCAATCCAGGAATGGATTAACAAGCTGTGGTATATATACACCATGGAATACTATACAGCCACCAAAAATGGTGATTTTATATCTTTTGTATTAATTTGGATGGAGTTGAAACACGTTCTTCTTAGTAAAGCATTACAAGAATGGAGATGTATGGCTTGGCGCCCATAGCTCAGTGAGTAGGCTGCTGGCCACATACACCGAGGCTGGCAGGTTCAAGCCTAGCCCAGGCCTGCTAAACAACAATGACAACTGCAACCAAAAAATAGCCAGGCGTTGTGGTAGGCGCCTGTAGTCCCAGCTACTTGGAGGCCAAGGCAAGAGAATTGCTTAAGTCTGCCACAAGTACTCTAATGAAGGTGACATAGTGAGACTCTGTCTCCAAAAAATAAATAAATAAAAAGAATGGGGATGCAAGAATCCAATGTACTCAAATCTGATAAGAGGTCAGTTGATGCTAATACATGGTGGGGAAGGGGGACGGGGGAAGCGAAAAGAAGGTGGGAGAGGGGTGTGGGGCCATGGTATGTGACACACCTCTTGGGCATAGGACACTAATTTTTTTTCTTTGCAGTTTTTGGCAAGGGCTGGGTTTGAACCTGCCACCTCCGGCATATGGGGCCAGCGCTCTACTCCTTTGAGCCACAGGACACTATTAATAGAGGGACTTTGCCCTGCGAATGCAACAATAAAAAAGAAAAGAAAAAGAAAAAAAAATAACACTTATGGTTTTAGTGTAGTACTGAGGAAGAGCCATAACTATGTAAAAAAGGCTATTAAAATTTTCCTTTTCCCAACTATGTATCTGAGGTCATATATTTCTATTACAACAATATATCACAAGAGAATGAGAGTCCCATAGTGGAAAAGATTTTTAAAATGTAGAGCAATACCACTTGTTTCATAAAATTTTTAGAAAAGTTATTTTTAATAAATAATAAATAAACTTCTGAGTTTTACAGTTTTAATTTCTAATATAGTAAATACAGGCATAACACAAATAAAGAAAAGTTCTTGGGGTGTTTAAAAAAAAAGGTGGTGGGGGGGGTGGGAGGCGGAGTTTCTGAGACCAAGATGTTTGAAAACCACTACTACAGAACAAGATCCCTCGCTCTATCAGTCTGAAGAATCTTGCCAGGCTACCTGCTGCCCAGCTTCCTGTCTGCAGGCCTCTCTTAGGGTTCTGGTTATGTATGAATGGAATAGCAGAGCAAGATGGATAATATGCTGCTCAAAAAGTTAAAAAAAAAAAATTAGGGCTTGGAACCTGTAGCTCAAGTGGCTAAGGTGCCAGCCACATACACCAGAGCTGGCAGGTTTAAATCCAGCCCAGGGCCCGCCAAACAACAATCACAATTATAACCAAAAAATAGCCGGGTGTTGTGGTGGGTGCCTGCAGTCCCAGCTATCTGAGGCAAGAGGATCACTTAAGCCCAAGAGTTTGAGGCTGCTGTGAGCTGTGATGTCACAGCACTGTACCCAGGGCGACAGTTTGAGACTCAATTTCAAAAAAAATTCAGCCCTACTGTATAATTTTTTTTTTTTTTGAGACAGAGTCTCACTCTCTTGCCTCAGGCTAGAGTGCTGAGGTGTCATAGCTCCGAGCAACCTTAAGCGATCCTCTTGCCTCAGCCTCCTGAGTAGTTGGGAGTATAGGCCCCCGCCACAATGCCCAGCTATTTTTTTTCTTTTTGTAGAGACAGGATCTCACTTTACTGCCCTTGGTAGAATGCTGTGCACAAGCTCACAACCACCTCCAACTCCTGGGCTTAGGTGATTCTCTTGCCTCAGCCTCCCGAGGAGCTGGGACTACAGGTGCCTGCCACAACACCTGGCTACTTTTTTGTTGTAGTTTGGCCGGGGCCGGGTTTGAACCCACCACCCTCAGTATATGGGGCCGGCACCCTACCTACTGAGCCTCAGGCGCCACCCCCAGCTATTTTCAAAGATGGGGTCTTGCTCTTGCTCAGCCTGGTCTTGAACTCTTTACTTCCAGCAATCCATCTGTCTCAGCCTCCCAGAGTGCTAGGATTAAAGGCATGAGCCACTGTATCTCATGGCCCCCACTATATTTTTTTCTAGCCAACGATTTCATTCAGTTTATTTAAGCTTAATGTTGAAGAATTTATATAAATGGAAAAGTAGTGTGCTTTACCTGTGGTGTCCTAAGAAAGGAGAAATCTGGTTGTGGCATTCCAATAAGCGAACAAATTCGAGAAAGTTCAGTGACTGGTGTGGATATAGGAGGGATCTGGCTGGGAGCAGGCCAACACACATTGTCCATGGATTGAATATTATGGTACTCATTAACACTGTGAGGCTTGTTCACATAAGATGCTAGTAACAAAGAGAAAAAGAGAAAAGGATGTATCTATATTAATATACTGAATTATACATTTAGTGCAGGGTTTATAAAAAAGCAGCAAGAAATTGATAAAAGATGAAAAATTAAATCTCCCATGAAGCAAATATAAGAATTATTTAATAATGGCTAAAATTATTGAGATTTCAATAAAGATTTTTAGATGATAATAACATTAATGATAAATTATTATTACTTTTTAGAGATGGGAATTGTTCTGTCACCTAGGCTGGAGCACAGTGGTGTGACCATAGCTCATTGTAAGCTTTAACTTGTGGGCCCAAGCAACTCTGCCATCCTTTTTTTTTTAAGAGATGGAGATATCCCTGTGTTGCCCAGGCTGGTCCTGAACTCCTGGCCTGAAGTGATCCTCTTGTCTTAGCCTTCTAAAGTGCTGAGATTATAGGTGTGAGGCACTGTGCCCACCATGTGTGGCCAATGATAAATTATTAAGAAAACACTTTAAAATATAGAAGGCAGCTAACTGCCAAAAAATAAAATCTAGAGCAACTAATGACTACATGGTATTGTTACAGGTAAAATTTGAACAAGCAAATGGTTTTCTTGATATGATTTACAATTAATCCTTAAGTTTTGAGGTTTTGGCTTCTGTCTCAATTTTTATAATTCCAACTTACATTCTTAGACACATGGATTAATATTTTTGGTGTTCTAAAATGATGCTTTTTTTTTTTTTTTTGAGATAGTGTCTTACTATGTCGCCCTCAGTAGAGTGCCGTGGGATCACAGCTCATAGCCACCTCAAACTCTTGGGCTTAAGTAATTTTCTTGCCTCAGCTTCCCAAGTAGCTGGGACTACAGGTGCTTGCCACAACGCCCAGCTATTTTATTTTGTTGTTACAGTTGGTTAGCTGGCCTGGGCCAGGTTCGAACTTGCCACCCTTGGTGTATGTGGCTAGCACCATAACCACTGTGCTCCGGGCGCTGAGCCCAAAATGATGCTTCTTAAAAAGTTTTTCTAAAATTAAGTCTTCTGGCTCGGTGCCTGTGGCTCAAGCGGCTAAGGCGCCAGCCACATACACCTAAGGTGGTGGGTTCGAATCCCCAGCCTGGGCCC